GCAGCCCGGGCCTGTGGGAGGTGCAGGCGGAGCCGCGCGGGGCTCAGCCGGGCCGCAGCGAGTTTTTTGTTTAATTTTTAAACTGGTTCCTAATATTTAAAATCAAGAGGTCGCGTACAAATATCTGGATATCATTTCTTTTTTAAAAAAAAACAGAAAATGTGAACATTGCCCCCAAGGCTGAATTAATGACTATCCTGTGCTTTTTTATTTTTATTTTGTCTATGTGGGCCACTTCTTAAATTTTTTTAAATTATATTTTACTACAGCAAAATAAAGACAAGCATAATCCAGGCTGGATTGATGGGATTTATTGTTACATTCATTATTATTTGTCTTGAGTCAAATGTGTAGAAGCTTCATTGTATGGTCTTTATTTCAGTAAACTTATGTTTTATATTTTTAACCAGTAGAAAGAGACTCCCAAAGTGATCTTAGTAGAATGGGCCAAGAGGTTGTGTAAATAATTACTTTAATTATTATTTTTCTAAATAGAAATTTGAAAGAAGTCACTGCCACCTGTAACAAGGCCAACCATCCTGAATGCCTTGCAGAACCCCTGGGGTTGGGCAGCATCTAAGATCCCTTCCTGTCTCCATAGTCCGTGCTCCCCACCAGCATCACCTGGGAGGTGACCTTTATTTTCCCTCGGGAGAGAAAGATGTGCAGGCCCCTCGGGCCGAGCTCTAAGGAATTGTGCAGATCTGAATCCATCACACGTAAGAGTGGAGCATGATGAAAATGTGGGGAGGTACACATCTTTTTCATTCTGAATTGAAGCTTAAATGAAGACTTGGTGAGAGCCTATCAGATAAGGAAAAATTTAAAAGATCAAAAGCTCGGTAACATCGATGTTCTTAAGAATGTGCAGAAAAGGACACTGTTCAGTTTTGTTTCGATGACATTTTAGCAGAATCTACCAAATGCATATGACCTTTCTCCTGTGAGACACTCATACATGCGAACAAATACACCATATTTCATCAAACCTAAGATGCCCTAAACCAGTGGTTCTCAACCTTCCTAATGCCGCAACCCTTTAATACAGTTCCTCATGTTGTGGTGACCCCCCAATTTCATTGTTACAAATTGAACATAAAGCATAGTGATTCATCACAAAAACAATATGTAATTATATATGTGTTTTCCGATGGTCTTAGGCGACCCCTGTGAAAGGGTCGTTCGACCCCCAAAGGGGTCACGACCCACAGGTTGAGAACCACTGCCCTAAACTGTAACATGTACCACTAAGAAGAAAAAGCTGCTGCCCAGCTGGCGTGCGTGGCTCAGCAGTTGAGCATCAACCTATGAACCAGGAGGTCACGGCTCCATTCCCAGTCAGGGTCAAGGGGTCAGGGCACATCCCTGGGTTGGGGGCTCAATCCCCAGTGGGGGATGAGCTGGCGTGCAGGAGGCAGCCAATCAATGATTCTCTCTCATCATTGAGGTTTCACTCTCTCTCTCTTCCATTTCCTCTCTGAAATAAATAAAAATATATTTTTAAAAAGGGAATAAAAAAACTGCCACTTTTACTATGATACCGTGCTTTCATATCACTTAGGCTTTTTCTTTTATACTTATTAAAAGACTCCACTGTATATATATTTTAAATAATATATTCCTTTTGAGAACTATCGTTTTCTGTTCAGCTTTTCAGCCCCTTTGTTTCTTCCACTTACAAACCAGCCAACACTTCAAAGAGGAAGGAAAGCAGCTTGGGGTGTCCCACTCACCTCACGGCATTTCTTTTCTCCCTGAAATCTTGGACCCTCAACCCCTGGAGTATCTTAGTAGCTCTTTGTTGCTTTCAAACAGGTGTGTGTGTGTGTGTGTGTGTGTGTGTGTGCGCACACACACCTGTACTTATTGTATTTCTAGCTACTGTCAGTGGGAGTAGTTTGATAGACACTGACTTGTCAAGATCTTGTGTGACCATATAATTTATCCTCCAAACAAGGACATTTCTGAGAGTGAAAGGGGGCACTATTAATAACACTGGATCACCGAGCATGCCTTGTGACTGTCTCAGACAACCAGGAACACATGACCACCCTAATCATAGCCCCCTTTGCACTGCTGTAAATACATACAACAAAAACAGGAAAGATTCCCTATTAAATTTTTTTTTTTACTGTAGAAACTATCATTTATTGAATACCGGTTATTTCATAAACTGTACTAAGTGTTTTACATTCGTTTTCTCATTTCAATCCTCACAACAACCCATTTACAAAGAAGAAAACAAACTCAGAAAAATTAGGTCACTTGCCCAAGGTCGTACAGCTCGTCGGTGGTGGAGCAGGGTTTTGTCTGTGGCCGAAAGCCCCTGCTCTTTTAGTGACCCATCTAGGTCAGCTTTGGGCAAAAGGCAACTTCACTGCTCAGCTCAGCAAAGAGCACCTGGGAGTGGAGGTTGCTGGCCACACTCACCGCTGGTCAGGATGCACTGAAGCAGACTTGATGTTGGTTTTTATTCCACTTGGCATTTCCCCTGGTTGACCTGCGTGGGCCCTTTGCACCCCGCTGAGCACCGACTGCTGCTGGCTTGGAGCACCTGAGAACATGGATGGGTGTGTGCCTGTTACCAACTTGGTGCTTCCCTGCTCCAAACACACCCTTCTCTGCCCCGCTCTGTGATCCTGTCAGCCAGTGCCACCCGTTGGCCTTGTCAGTCCTAACACCAGGAAGGTGCTAGAGGAACACAGGCTTCTCTTCCTCGTTCCAGAACTTTCTGCTGGTTTCTACAGCACAGCTGCCAGTGGGCGGCTTCCCAATGAGATTTTGCCATCACCCAGCACACAGTTTCCTGCTTGCCAACCGCAGCCTGCAGCACCTCAGCAAACTCCTCTGCCCTCCCGTGGGCCACCACCACGCCCTCACCAATGAGTGCTGGCGGGGAGGGAGGGCCATTTCCACGTTTATTCCTTCCGTGGGATTTCTATGTCATCTCTGGAGGCTGTGGCTGCTCCCTGTGTATGTGCTTTCTGTATTCTTTAGAGTCCTATTTACCCCATTCAGTGGTTAATTTTCGTTTACTAATTAACAATTCTCTATATTGCATGCTCCCTGTTCAAAGGACTGGTGTGGTTTCTGGATCCTGGCTGATACAGAATACATTAATTACTTCTTTCACTTCTCATTTGAGAACAAGGTCTTTCAAAGAAAATGGAGAACATAGTGGTTGGTAGGTAAAAATAACACATTATTCACTGTTTGCCATATACTGGGCAATGTTTCAAGAACTTTACACCTTTTTAACTAACTTAATCCTCATGCCAAGCCTATGAAGTAAGTGGCATTTTTATTTCCTTTTACAGATGAGGAAACTGAGGCACAGTGGGGTGACCTAAGTAAGTGGTCGAGCTGGGATTCAAATACAAATTATGTGACTTAAAGGTCCATGCCCTCAACACTAGAGAGTGGAGTGCTCAGTCTGCCATTGACAAGAGAGGGAGAGAGACCTGAGACAGTGCCTGGCATTTAAAACCGTGCCTCTTGGGGGTTACCCTCAAGAGAGACGCTAATCAGGGCTCACAGGGTGACGGTGGCCAAAGGGTCCTACCTTGAAATATGGGAAAGACAAAGTAGAACTAGGACCACTAGAGAGATGAAAACGGGGACCGGCTATGCTGGGGTTCCCAAATGCCCCAAGCACGCCTGCTGAGAAAATGGGGTGGTTCCTCTGTCAGTTATGGCAACAGATGAACCCAAACCTACTGGACCAGGGACAGGGTAGCAGATCTTAGAGACGAGGCATAGATAATGACGGAGTCTTCCCTTGGAGAGGAGGACGGAAGAGGGAGCCATGGGCCTCAAGGGTTTCAGTAACACACAGGGCTGTCCTTAGGTCAAATTTTGGGGTGAGTAGGAAAGCTCACCCTGTGGGGTTGAAGAAAGATGAAGAACAAGTAAAACAACCTTCGTTCATATCTGTTTAGCTAGCAACTGACTGAGTGGCTTTGATTATATTTCTTTACACTATACATCACAGTTGGTTTAGCCATTCTATTAATGAACATCGGGTTATTTCCTGTTTGGAGCTGTTATAAATAAAGCTGCTAAAAACATTCTGGTACAAGTCTTTCATTCCTTTTAGGTAAATACAGAAGTGAAATTTCTGGGTCATAAGGTAAGTTTATGCAGAGTTTTTTAAATTTTTATTGTGGTAAAATATACATAATTAAAAGTCTGTAACTTTTAGGTTTATTGTTAACAGTATTACCAAGGTCCCTCCCCCATCTCCCCCCTCTTCCAACCCCCACCCCACCTCAGGCCTTCCTTACACTATTGTCTATGTCCATGGGCTATGCATATATGCATATATGTTATTTGGTTAATCTCTTCCCATCCCCCCATTTCCCTCTCCTCTGAGTTCTGTCAGTCTGTTCCACCCATTCATGCCTCTGGACCTATTTTGTTTGTCAATTTATTTTGTTCATTAGATTCCACATATTAGTGAGATCATGTGATATTTGTCTTTCTCTGACTGGCTTATTTCAACCTAGCATAATAATCTCCAGGTCCATCCATGGGGTCACGAAGGGTAAGAGATCCATCTTTTTTACAGCTGCATAGTATTCCATTGTGTAAATGTACCACAGATTTTTATCCACTCATCTACTGATGAGCATTTGGGCTTTTTCCAGGTAACTTTAACCATTTTGAAGTGCACATTTAAGCGGCATAATGTACATATTTACATTGTTATGCAACCATCACCACTATCCATCTCCTGAACTTTTTCACCATCCCAAACTAAAATTCTGTACCCATTAGAAAATAACTCTCCAAGGGGCTTGGAGGATGGTAGGAAAGTGGGGAAATGGGAGATACCTGTAATACTATCAACAATAAAAAATATTTTTTTAAAAAATAACTCTCCAGCTCTGGCCAGTGTGGTTCATTTGGTTGGAGTATTGTCCCATACACTGAAAGGTCACAGCATTGATTTCTGGTCAGGGCGAATACCCAGGTTTAGGGTTTGATCCCCAGTTGGAGTGCATGTAGGAGGCAACCAATCAATGTTTTTCTCATCTCTCTTTCTTTCTCTAAAATCAATGATAACAATAATAATAACTCCCCATAATAATAATAACCCTCTCCCCTCGGCCCCTGGTACTCGGCCACTCTTCTACTATCTGTCTCTATAAATTGACTATTGTAGGTACTTCAAACAAGTGGAATCATACAACATCTGCCTTTTGTGTCTGCTTGCATCAGTTAGCATACTGTTTTCAAGGTGTATTCGTGTTAGAACTTGTGTCAAAATTTCATTTCTTTTCAAGACTGAATAGCATTATATTGTATTATATATCATATTTTATTTATCCATTCATCAGTCATTGGACACTTCGGTTGCTTCCACCTTCTGGGTATTGTGAATAGAAGTACTTCTATGAACGTGGGTGAACAGATACCTGTTCAAGTTCCTGCTTTCACTTCTCTTGGATACATACTCAGAAATGGAATTACTGGGTCATATGATAATTCAGTTTAATTTTTTGAGGAAACATCACACTGTTTTCACGGAAGTTGTGTCATTTTATGTCCCCACCACGAATGTCTCCATATCCTCGCCAACACTTGTTTTATGTTTGGGAGTTTTTTAGTAATAGTCATCCTCATGGTGTGGGGTAGTATCTCATTGTGGTTCTGATTTGCACTTTCCTAATAATTTGTGATATTTAGCATCTTTTCATGTGCTTATTGGCTGTTTGTGTATCTTCTTTGGAGAAGTGTCTATTCAAATCTTTAACCTATTTTTAAATTAGGTTGTTTGGTTTTTTGTTGTTGAGTTTTTTCTATATGCTGGATATTAATCCCTCATTAGCTATATAATTTCCAAATATTTCCCCCCATTTTTTTGGGTTGCCTTTTCACTCTTTTGAGTGGGTCCTTTGATGCACATGTTTTTAATTTTGATGAAGTCCTATGTTTCGTTTTTTTTAGGAAACTGCCAGACCCGTATTTCCAAAGTAGTTGTACCATTTTATACTGCCACCAGTGATACTGAGTGTTCCAATTGCTCTACATCTTTGTCAACACTTGCTGTTGTCAGTCTTTTTTATTTTAGTCATTCTACTGAGTGCATAATAGTATCTCATTGTAGACTTAATTAATATCTTCCTGATGACTAATAGTGTTGAGCATCGACTATTTATATATCTTGGTGAAATATTTGTTCCAATCTTTAGCCCACTGTTTTGTTGGTGTGTGCTTTTTCAGTTTATCATTTTTTTGGTTTTTGATTATTTTTTTTTATTAAACTGTAGGGTTGGCTGATATTTTTCACTTTCTTCATCTGTAGGTAGCAGTTATAAATTCCACCATGACCCCTGGACTACAAGAAATGCCAAGCTCAACCGTAAACTTCATTGTCAGTTTCCTAACCTGTAAATGGGATCAAATGAGAGAACCTATGGTGACTAGCACAGGGTCTGCCGTGTAGTAATCATTCACTAAGTGGTAACCAGAGAGGGTGTTACTGCTGCTGTTGTTGTAGTTAGTTAGGTTCCTCACACCACACTCTGATCCCAGGGAGAAAATGTTCCTCCGTGATTGCTTGAAGAGGGAACTGGCTAAGGAAAGTAGCGGTAAGTAGCAACAGGTCCAAATGCCAAGAATTTCTCATTGAGTTCCCAGAGAAGTGAGTATGGGAGCGCCGGGGCCAAAAAGGCAGACAATAGCAAACCAGAGTGAGGATGTGGAGAAATCAGGATCTTCACACACTGCTGATGGGGAGCTAAAATGGTGCAGCCACTTTGGGGAACAGTCTGGCCGTTTTTTGAACAAAATCCAATAAATGAAAGATATAAATATGAAAGAAACAAATACACCGAAACACAGGAAGAGGAGGTCTCAACAGGCCTGGAACTGAACCTACAAGGAGTGGTTAAAAGAAGGCAAAGTTAGACTGAAGAAGGAAATCTCAGTCCACAATGTGTAGAGGAGCCAAGAAGAGAGTCTTTCCAAAGGTACTGGGAGCAGCGCTTAGGATGCTTCAGACCCAAGTGGGGTAAAGATGTGGGAGGAGATCCAGGGACTACTGCGAGGGTACTTAGTTGGGGCACTGAGGCAGGAGCAGGTAGCACCCCCATCGTAACCCAGGCAGCTATGGTGGGGTGTGGGAGTTTAGAGCAGAGAGACAAGGCAGTACTTAGGTGGCAAGGATCACCCAGGAGAAACTGGCAGCGCCCAAACCCAGAAGACCAGCTGCTAAGATACCCTACTCCAGGGGTGGGCAACCCATGGCACGCGTGCCAAACATGGCATGCCAGTAACTTTTGCTGGCACACGAACCCTCTCTTTATAATCTTCCATTTACAACTGTGAATCTTTGTTCTCAGTGATGAATTCTGTTAAGTCTCATAATAGGAGTAGCCTGACGGATGAAAGTAGTAGCTCGTGCATATCTCTGAAGGTCACGAAATATAAACCTGATGTAAAATCTCTGTCATCAGTGATGCAGCAGCAAAAGTCCCACTGATAATATCAAACGGAGTCATAAAGTTTTCTGTCGGACTATCAGTGTACATGTATACATTAAAAAATAAATGTATTTTTCATCATCATATACTGTGTTTTTGTTGCTGGAATGAATTTTATTATTTCTTCAAGTTTCTTCACATACGTACACCTTGAGAGATATCAAGTAGGCGTAACATGTTCTCAAAAAATTAGGGTTGGCACGCAGAAGAATTTTGAGTCAGAGATTTTGCTGGTTTGGGCACGCACTCACAAAAAGGTTGCCCACCCCTGCCCTACTTGGTGGCAGGTCTTGCCGTCCCCCCAGTCTGAAAATAACAGAGTGCAACTCTTGCCTCTTCCCCCTCAGTGGACTGTGCAAAGAATGTCAACCATAAAGGTGAATTTGCACAAGGATCATTTAACATTTGAGGGAAACCAATATCATCAAAGAGAGATAAGCCAGAACCTTACCCAGACTCCCTTGAGGTTAGGTGAGACCATTGACTGAGCTTCAGCCTGTGGAAAGTGACCGAAGTGTGTACACCACTTCTGGCCAGGTGTGGCCTTTAAGTACCTCCACTCTCTCTCTTCCTCCCAGCTGTATTTCAATGCCCAGGGTGATGTTGGAAGTTACAAGATGAAGGAGACAAGATCCTATGTCAACTTCGTCAAATTAGGGCCCTAAATGTGCAGGGCACTGCTGCCTCCCACTGCACTTCATAGGAATGAGAAGTGGACTTCCATGTGCTAAATCACTGAGTTTGCCTTGAAATTTTTTTCCTGTTACAGCAGCTAATATTATCTTCACTGATAAGAGTTTACAGTTTAAAACAGTTTCTTTGGCCCTGGCAGGGTGGCTCAGTTGATTGGAGTATCATCCAGGACACCAAAAGGTTGCAGGTTCGATTTCCAGTCATACCTAGGTTACGGGTTGAACACCAGTTGGGGCCCATACGGGAGGCAACTGATCCATGCTTTTCTCTCTCTCTTTCTCCTTCCCTCCCTCCCTTCCACTCGCTTAAAAAAAACCAAAATAGATAAATAATTTAAAAAATCAATGGAAAAAATATCCACGGGTGAGGATTAACCAAAGAAAGAAAGGAAGAAAGAAAGAACACTCAGTAGATGAGCTGAAATATAGAGTACATCAACTCAATTTAAAACTAACAGTGAACTGGGCGATTAGGTTGAAGAATATTTCTAGAATGCAGTCAAATGGTGCCCAACACCCAAGTTAGAAGGCTACCAATTGAACAGACCTGGTAATTTATTTACTCGGCACAAACCAGAGGGCAGTCTGACAGGGGCTATACAGCAGGTTATGTAGCCTGTGTTTAAGATTCACCTGGATAATTCAGACCCCAAACATTCACTTGTAGCATCAACGATTCACATTATTTGGGTAGATTAAAATGCAGGGCAACGATCATTCTCTCCTTTGTACTATGTAACAGAACATCTGTTGGTCTGAAATCATTTGTTTTCCCTTTTAATGTGAATTCATTCATGCCTTTGTCCACCCACCATCCCATCCATCCTTTTAACAAACGTCCAACCTAACAATTATCCTAGACCCTTGCTGTCTCACTGCCACTCATTACTTGTAGATGAGAAAGGTAAATACGGTTTCAGTTATTTTGGTGCCAATCAATATTCTAGAAAGAAATGCTCAGCTAAAAAGTTCTAAATAAATAACTAAAAACAGAAAGGGGAAACGGGGGTGAGGGGGGCGAGTAGAGGAAACAGGAGGGTCCCTCCCAGCGGAGGTGGGTGGGAATCTTGTTTCCTTGTCTGGGTTTTGATTTGCGCGCGACAGTCTCCGCGTCTGGGGGTGCTGAGAACCCCAGCCAACCCAGACGGAAGGGAGGGGACAAGATGGGCTTGGGGGAGGGTGCGAGTTGGAGGAGTTTCGAATTTTTAAACTCTAGTCTGGATTCTGGTGTCAGAGCCTGCATTTCCCCCAGCTCCCCCCACCCCACCCTCCTCCAACACGCGCGCAATTTCCCTAAGAATTCGGAATCCAGAAGAAAGAGGAGCAAGCAGGTGTCAGGTATCCTTCTCCCCCTCCCCCGGGCTCACCTGGTGCCAGGTGTCTCCTGGGCCCCAGGGGAACTGCGTTAGGGCGTCTCTCAACTTCAGCACAGGATAGCCCCCTCCCAGCCCAGAAGCCGCGAGCCCGGTTCTTCGCCTGGAAAACTCCTCATTCAATCGCCGTGGGTCCTATGTCCCTAAGACATGGAAGGAGCTCAGAACAGGCACCTTGTCGGTGCCTGCCTCCTCTGACCAATGAAGGTGAGGGGACCGTGCCCTCACATGGGGCCCAGGAGTCCCCGTGGTGCGCCGGGGGCCCCTCACCCAGCCCGAGGAGGGCCGCCAGCGGCACCCTGTAAACCCGTGGACTCTGGCCTGATTCCGCGCTCGTGACCGGACAGAGGGTAGCATGAATGGGGCCGTGCTGGCCGCTCTGTGACCCTTGGAAGGCTGGGGAGACGTTCCCGTTTTTTCAGACGAGAAACTGAGGCTTCCATCCAGTGCCAGCACCCGTGCACTCAGTCCCTGGGTCTGCCAGCCGCCTGCGCCCCATCACAGCGTTTCTTTGGGGCCCAGGCAGAAAGTCTGGGGACAAAGGGCCAGGATGGTGCTGGGATCTGTGCCTTTCGCCTGTCTCCGCTCCCAATCCCCACGCAGTGTGCCGGGCGACCCCGACGTGCGTGCGGCGGGCCAGCGGTGTCTGGCAGGAACCTGGGACGTGGTGGTGCGAGGGCTCCTTGACCAGAGGCGGACAGGGGCCACCGCGGGGGTCCCCACCACTGCCACTCGGTGCCCTGGGGGTTGTCCCGCCCTTTAACCCACGGGATGCTGATTAACCAGGCGGCCAATAGGCGGCTGGGCGGAACCGCGCCCCTCCGAGGGCCGCAGGACACCGCTGGGAGCAGCGCTGCTCCCGGGAGCCATGGAGCGGCCGGTGCGAGTGCGGACTTGGGTGAAGGAGAACCAGGACTCCTTCCTGCCCCCCGTCTGCAACAAGCTCCTGTGAGTGCCAGGCAGCCCTTCTCCCGCTCTCTGTCCTCACCCCTTCCTTCTCCATCCGCACCCTCACCCCTCAGCCCTCACCCCTCACCCCCAGCTCCCAGTCTTGACCCAGAGCCTGTAGACAGGGGCCTCCATCCTCACTGTGTCTTCAGGGCAGGGGGAGGGCGGGCTATTCCGGGTTCCACCACCTTTGTCTGTTCCTCTTTCTGGCGACTCAGAGACGGAGATTGTGACCCTGCCGTCTGAGGATGGCGGGGCGAGCTGAGGCCAGGAGAGATGCGGAGGGCAGAGGGCAGCCCTTCCCCTCCAGGCCCGAGACAGCTCTCCAACCCCCAGTGACTCTCAGAAGATGGACCCCAGAATGGCAGTAGAAGCCAGGCCTGGGGACAGTCCAGTCTTACACCAACTCTATCAGGAAGCCACAGGCAGAGGGTGGAGGATCAGCCCTCTGGGAGGATTGTGATTTATTGCTCTTCCCAGTTCCCCTCTTTGTTGGCAGGCGTGAGCACACGCACACACATGCTTACACACAAACACATGCGCGCACACACACGGATACACACGTGCGTGCGCATACACACGCACATGCTGGGGTCCAGCCCCAGCAGGTCCAGGGGTTCCCCAAGGTGTGGACGGAGTCGGCGAAGAAGGAAGGACACGGAGACAGCGTTCAGGTGATCATCATAGTTGGGTTCTCTTTATTGTCCTATTGCACATATATTTAATCTATTTGATCCCATAAGCATGCCTCTATAATTACATCATGGTATGTTTTGGGTAACGTTCTACAGTGCCTTGTTTCTTATCTGACCTTTGCCAAAAATCCTGTCTCTATCTAGTTCTGTTGATTTTAATCTTGTCTAGGTTAATCTCTGTGTTTCTATTACAAGGGCTATTCCAAGGTCACTGCTCTACTGATAGGCTACAAGGAAGTGACTGAAGGAGATTATCCTACCCAGGAAAGGTTATGTCCTCCCAGCCTCGCTGCTTGCCTTCCCTGGGACTGCCCTGTGTCGGTGGGTCTCCAGGGGTATAGGCTTTGGTGCTTTCCCTGGTGGGCAGACCCCTGGGGATGCGGGCCCAACAAGTCCCAAATTTATTGCCAACAGTCTTATTCCAAGTCTTCATAAGTAGTACATGGTATTTCTGTAACACTAGGGGGATTTACTGATGTATTCTCTTCCTAGTCCTGTTAACCCCTAACCTGGGGAAACAACCTTTCTCGGGGAGGTGGTCCTGGTTTAAACACATAGCACTTAAGAGGGGGGGCAAACATATGTCATATACGACAGGTCCCTTGAAACATAAGCTGTACAGATGTTTCTTCCCTGCAGCGACTGTGTCAAGCAGCACACACACACACACACACACACACACACACACACTCCCCCAGGCCCTCCCTAGCCACCTCTGCCCGTACCACCCAAGGGGGCCATCCCGTCCAGCCAGTCCTTCTCCAGCAGACTCTCAGGCCCTCCCTGGAAGCCCCTTCCCCTGCCGGGGCTCCCAGCTCCAGGCTCACAACCCCATCCTTGTTGTGTCCACAGAACATCTCCAACACCTCAAAGCACACACAACCACCAATACTTTGACAGGCCAGAGACTGTGCCGAGTGATTTAACATCATCTCGTTTCACTGTCACAGTAGCCCCGGGAAGGTGGGATTTTAATAGGGAACTTTCCCAATGTCACGGAGCTAGTGTGGGACAGGGTCCTGCCTCACGCCCATGGAAGAGTTTGACTCCAAAGTGCACACTCGTGGTCACTGTGCAGCATCCCCCCAAAGCCTCCACTCTTTTCCCACTTCATCCCTGACCACAGTCTCATTCTCAGTCCTGCAGTTTCTCCCCTAATGGTGTCTCAGATCCACCTGCTCCTCTCCAGCCTGGAAAGTGTGGGCTGCCCCGCCTCCAGGCACCCCTCTCCCACCCAGCCCTCCAGCACTGCCCCAACATTAGTGATCACAAAACGCAGGCCCTGCCTTTAGCCACTCAGCAGCTGTTCTGTTCACTGAGCACCTGCTACATGCCAGGCACTGTCCCAGACACTAGAGACACAGCAGGAAACCAACGGACAAGAGTCCCTTCCTCCGGGAACTGAGGAGGCCGCCACTAAATAGAAACCAAAGCGGGTGGAGGCCCAGGCAGACCTGGGGCCACAGGGCAGGGTAGGGCTGTGGCTGTACCCCGTGTTGGTGAGGGCTGTGAGGAGACCCTGCTCTGGGCCTCTTCTGGCTGCTTCCTGGTGAGTTAGTGGTGATCTTTGCACTCTTGGCTTCTGCAGCATCAGCCCTTTCTCTGCCCTCACCTTCACGTGGTGCTCCCCTGTGTGTCTGTGTCTAAATCTCCCTTTCTGTAAGGACTCCGGCAGAGAGGATTAGGTGTCCGCCTGATCCCAGGACGACCTCCTCATAGCTTAACTAACTCCATCTGCAATGACCCTATTTCCAACTTGGGGCACCTTCTGAGGTGCTGAGGCTTAGGACTCTAGCTCAGTGGTCGGCAAACTGCGGCTCACGAGCCACATGTGGCTCTTTGGCCCCTTGAGTGTGGCTCTTCCACAAAATACCACGTGCGGGCGCACATGTACAGTGGGATTGCGCAGAAGTCGATATTTTGTGGAAGAGCCACACTCAAGGGGCCAAAAAGCCGCATGTGGCTCGCGAGCCGCAGTTTGCCAACCACTGCTCTAGCCTATGAATTTGGGGTGGTGGGAGGCAGGACATATGAAGCTGCTGGAAGGTTTTGAGCAGAGGAAGGACATGATCTTGGCTTATGCATTCTGACTGATGGGTTAGAATAGTTCTCGAGTGGGCTCATTCAAGAACTTCCCATATGTACCTAGATCAGCGATTTTCAACCGGTGCGCCACAAGAATTGTTAAAACATGCAGTATCTGACTATTTAGTCAGGGGCACTGACCTCTTTTCCCTTAGATTGTCAAATAAAAAAAAGAAAAACATCAATAGCCATCCAGTGTGAATAAATCAAAATTATACCTATTTTTTGTCAGATCAGCAAAAAAATATATATGTTTTGGTGTGCCACAGAATTTTAGTAATTAAATTATTTGTGCCATG